TATTTACATAATTTGTAAAAACACTGGGTTTTAATAACTACTGTAAAACCAATATATGACGATAACTGCACTTCCTTGAGGATGAACCTATGATGATGACTGCTCATTAAGGCGTTAATACAGCACACATCAGGGTGGAGATTCATGTGGCCTGGAAGGCTTACATCCAATTACCACACATTTGTATTCTTGCCCCAACAGCTTTCCTTTCAACTTCTGGTATTTTCCCAGTTTAAAGGCAAGGTTACTTCAACCCTTGAGTGTGTACTGTCTGTAGCATATGGGAAGCTACTTGGACTGACACTACATATCAGCAGGTGTTTATGGGAAGTGCTTAATGTTGAACTTGTGTAATGACAAGTTTCTGTAAGGAAGGTTTCCATTTTCAGCTAGTGAGGGAAATTTGCAGGCTCTCCTCTTTTTAGAGCAGATATTACCCTTCTAGTTTAGTTAACCTGTGAGTTGCACCACCAGGATCTAAAGAGCACTGCTCAATCCCTGCTGCCCTCATTGCGACTTACCCCCACCTATGATGGGTAAGGAGCAGTCATGATTTACGCAAGTGCGAGATGTGATGATAGGTGGCATTGGAGGTAGGGAGCTTCTGTTTCTCCTCCGTTCTTGAAGCGCTAGTCTGTGAAGCCCAAACCTCAACTAGAGACATACTTGAATCTGTTTTGAGTAGAGAAGTGGTCATTCCTCTCCAAAGTGTCTGAGACTTCCATGGCAAGCCACCAGCTCCAAGTATTAGCCTAAGAATAGATTTAGTCCCTTGTTAGGACACTGGCTGGCTCTCCACTTCCCTGATTGAAGAGAGGTGCTGTGGTCTGAATTATTGAGAAAATAGTTGGCTTAGTTTTCCTCTGATTCATCCAGGGTTATGGTTCCCAGGATGCATCATATAAGTTTGTTGATAAGACAGGACAAAACACTGATTCCCAGGAGCTCAAACTTCAGAAGAACCACTCTGATGAGATTTGATACTTGAGAACCAGGTTCAGCCTGAAATGGAGAGCCCAAAAGTGGTTTGCAATGTGCCTTACCTGTAGATTACCTGTAATCATCTTTGAGAATTCTTCATCTTGAATGGCCTGGGGGCCAGATTTTTTTGGTGATAACCTGCCTCATCAGGCTACTGCTTATATCAGCCAGCAAGCCAACATATCCACTACAACCTGGATGTTCTGCCACTTCCTGCAGAAATTTATCCCTTTGCTTTATGAAAATCTCCACTTTTGTTCCAGCAATATTTCTTATTCTTAGTGGAAGGAGGTTGAAAGGTGTGGGGCCCTGATGTTCATATCATGTTCCCTGAACCCCAGCAAATCCAGTGAAATCTGTGTGGATAAGAATATGCCAGTAAGCATGCTTGAGGTCCTAGGATATGAGCCAAAATTGGTTTGAAACAACTTGGCAAACCAAAAACATGAATGTCATTTGGTATCTTTAGCAGGGGAAGCAAAAATTTACCCATGAACACTGATAATCATTCAGGGCATGGGGAGCATCTGTCTTTGTTACTGAAAAGAAGGTGGAGGTGACTGAAGAGGAAGAGTCATGACAATCACACCCCCTGGCCAATATCTCCCAAGATGTGGGCATGGAACCGTGGATTAGAGAGCTGGGCAGAACACGGGAACACAATGATCCAGGCACTGGCAGTCAATACCTGCCACAAGATGTCTTTATGTCTCTCCACCAAACTGTCACTGTGGTTTACTGTGAAAATGTTGCCAACAACAGATGTCCCAGCTTTGATGAGGTCCACCAACACACCTGGATGAGGTAAGGAAAACTTTCCATACCACGCAGTAAACTGGGCAAGTCACATCCACTACAGTACCATGTCTGGGAAACTGAGAACCCCACAACCAGTCTCATCTCAGAGGGAAGAGTGAGGAACAGATTGTAAATTAAATGCCTGGTAGTGGTTGGAAAGTCAAAACAAAATTCAAGTCTACTACAGGGAATGGAAGAGGAGACATGGTTGAGAACAACCAAGAAAGATCTGCAAGTGTCCCCAACACAAAATGCCCACACGAGAGGAGTGCTGCAAAAAGATCCTATACTACATCCTGTAGAAGTACCACAAAAAACTCGACAAGGCCCCAGTGGGTGAGGAAGCTGAGGTTATAGCTACAAAGTAACAGCCCATAGAAGGAAAAGCTTAAACTCAAATTGAGCAATATGTGGATGGAGAAGTCTGATAACACTAATAAGATGGGGCCAGATGTTTAAATTACTGCAACCAAAGTCAGAGACAAGGGAAGCCAGGACTAAAAGAAGCAGCCAAGCCCACACATCCCAGGACTAGGAAGTACACAAAATTTTGTTCAGAAAGTCAAGAGATTCTCTCAATACACATTAAACATCGGGAAGACTTCCTCACAGTACAAGACTGAGAGAAGTAAAGGAAAACCACAACCTCATTGAGAGCAAGCAATGCTTTCCAGCCAGAAGGTGGCAGGTACATGATATAACCATAAAACAGCAGAGAACATAAACTCAAAAAGAATGCAGGATCAAAATAAAACAAATGGTTCTTGCCACACATGAGAAATAAATCTTGCCTACCCTGACGCAAAGAATAAGCAATTGAAAAAGTTGCGAAGAAAATTCAAGGAATAAATAAAGGTAAATCATATCTCATAAAAGGTAGCAAGTACTCTACAATCTGGATAAACAAAGCCCAGGACAGGTCAAAGGGAAACTATACCTCCCCTTTGGCAGTCTATGCAGACCTAACTCCATACACCTTCACTGAGAACGTAGAGCTAGGTTCAAAACACGACAATGGAATTGCCACCGAGCACAGGCACAGTGGAAAGAAAGAGTCTACCTAAAGTGTTTCTGTAGACCCAGAGATTGAGCAAGAGTTGCTTGCAAAAAAAAAGGCCAGAAGATCTCAGATTGCCTCTCTGGACAAAAACCCTTACCCCTTCAGCTGAGCATCCCAACAGGCTAATTATGATCAGACTGCATATCTAAACTGGTGATGTACAGTATTAGGGTAGTGTGTAAGATTTTAAAACTCCTGGGAGTATATGGGGCTCACATGTCAATGCAAGCAACCAGACCATGAGTATCTGCCAGAAAGCCCTGGGGGCAGCAGAGGAGTTCCATTGCAAACACCCTAAGTTATCTTAATCAGGCAAAAGGCATAACTCCCTTCACCAAAAGAAGTGAACAAAAATGCTAGCAAAGGAAAAAGAAAGAAAACCCCAACCGAGACCCCTCAACAGCAAACAAGCCATCTGGGAGAATCCAGCATGCCCTAGCTATCAGAAGAACCGGCTACACTAGCCGCAGTGTGCCCTACCAGCCGAAAACACTGCCAACGGCAATATAGAAAGCTGAAAGTTCCCAACACACCCCAAGGACAAAGACCATAACAACTGATGAAGTCCTCTAATGGAGAATGGTTCCAAAGTGCCCCCAGGGAATAAAACTCTGGCCACACAGGGGCAGTACTTATGGAGCACCTAGGAAAGGTGACCCTGGGCACATGCAGCTCTAGTACTCCAAAACTCCTGGTCAGCACACACACCCATGCAGGAACCACCTCACAAGGCAAAACACCAACAAAAACAGGAAGCTGTGGCCTGAACAAGTTGATGACCGCTAGGCACGACATCAGTCAAGGACTGACTGTAGGCGACCCAGCTCACCTAGGCCGGCTCTTTCCTCCCCACAACCGAAAGGTGGAGCTAACGGGCAGGGGGTTAGTTGGATGTTTTGCTCGTTCGTTTTCTTTGTGGGAGAGTTCTTTTGATAATTTGAAGGCGTAGGTCGCATTTTTCAACCAGGCAGTAGTCAGTTTTGATTTGCTTACCCTTCTTTGTATCTTCCCTGCTCGATGGCTAGATGGCAAACTTTAAATGTACAGTGTTTATGGGCCATTGCTCCCTGTGCCTCTCAGAGAGAGAGAGAGAGAGAGAGAGAGAGAGAAGGGGGGGGGGGGGCAGGTTCTGACTTGTTGTCCCTGGTAGGCATACAAGAACTCTGCAACTAATGACTCCAAGAAGTATGGCACTAAATCAGTATAGATAGCTTCAAGTAGCTGACAGGGCTTCCCACATAAAACAACATTTTAAGAAAAACTCAATACTTATGAAATCTCTGTAAAGGTGCATTGTTAACAAAGGAGGGTGCCTGATACAAAGTGAGGGGAGCCACATTCCCTAACCCGGTAATGTAGCTGGTGCTGCCACCTGGTGATGGTTGGGATAGTGGATAGTTCATAGGTATCATCAGAGCAATGCTTACCTAACTTTGAGGTTCCAAGAATCATTTGGTCTTAAGCGAGAATTTTTTCTTGGTAGTGTATTAAGGATTATGCTCCACTGGGCTTCTCACCCCTAGATCACTAAAGAAAACAATTTCAAGGTTACTTGTCTTAGTTGGTTTTCCATGTCCCTCAGGGCCTAGCATGCTATCAGTGATCTGGGTACACACAATGCTATGGCTCAATGCCAAGTTATCAAGACACGTCTTCTCAAGATACTATAAGTAAAGGCTATCAAAACCTAAGATACTGAAAGCAGACTGTGACCAAAGCATAGAAACAAAAAATGAAAAACAATAAAGCATAACCTAAAGTAAACATAACTTAGTTACACTCAGAGTTGGATGTAATGATGAGTAAATAATCATGTAAGAAATGTGCCCAGAACAAAGGCCAGCATCCCATGACAAGTTCCAGAAATCCATAGTTGTAATAGCAAACTTAAAGAATAATAGCTGCCACTTTGTGATGGTGTAGTAGAGCCCTAGTTGAGTGCCACTGGACTGGTTTGCCTTGCATTAAAAAAAATTACCCAGACCTCTGATGAAATGTACACAATGAAGAGCTTTAGACACAAATTGTACATCACAGGATTAGTACGAGAGGAGAGAGACGTTATGTGCAGCAGACCAATTTCTTATTTTACAAGTACAATTTAAAGCAACATGCAAGAAATTAAACAGCAGCAATATTATTATTAATTCCAAAGACATACTTGTGTAGATGAAGGAGTTCGTGATGTGTGTTGACCAGGACGCACTACTGTAATGGTCACATCTGGTGCTCTCCGTCTCAGCTCTGCCAATGGCCCATCTTCCTCCGCATCATCATCATCTTCACAATCATCATCTTTCTCATCAAAATCTTCCTCCTCCTCTTCTTCTTCTTCTTCTTCTTCCTCCTCCTCCTCCTCCTCTTCTCTTCTAATTGCCATCTAGACGAAGAAAATGATAACTTAATTTCAATACCAGTCCTTTAATTCCATACTCGTAAATTTGTCCACACTCAACATCACTATCTATCTACAGTCACAAGGCCTCATGTCCTCCTGAGAACTTTACACCACTAGGTGGTCACAACTAAAGTTTCTACAGCTCCATCACCAGACAAACCTTTCACTCTTTCAGGCTCTCTAACCTTTCCTATATCACTATCAAGAAACAGTGTTGAATGTAATAAAATGCCAATTTTTAGGGGAGCCCAGGTTGCTCCCTGAACTACTTGGTGACATCAGTTATGGAGTTCTTATTGGCCTACCGGGGACCATGAGCCAGAACCTAGCCCCCTCAGAGATGTGCAGGGAACAGTGGCACTATGAAAAATGTCAATTTGTATTTTTATTCATGTCTGCCACCACTAAGGAAAGGCACCCAGAAAGTCAGCGGAAAAAAAAAAAAAAAAAAAAAGACCACTGTATGGTTAAACCCAGACTGCAGCCTCAAAACAGCATAAAGAACTCCCCCCAACAAAGTAAACAATACAAAAGTTACACTAGTTCGCCCCACATCCCCCTTCTCATTTGGGGGGGGGGAGGTAGACTGGGTCAGGTGTGTTCTCCATGGCTTGTCTTCTCCAATAGTTTTATGATGATGGAAACCTGACACCCTTCCTTCCCTGATGCTCTGGGTGAAGGAAAGGGTGTAAGGAAGTCAATGGGGCTCACCTAGATATTGGCATTTCATTACTGCACATTCAATGCTGAATGTACAGTACAGGAACTGTTCTTTTCAGTGGGGAACCCCTTATGGCTTTCTGATATCTACCAATGGAGATATCTTATGGGTTTCTAAATATCTACCGATATCTACCAATGGAGAAGGAAAAACAAAGCACACACCAGGGAGGAGGAAACACCGCAGGTATAGGCACGAGGAAGAGACTAACACATGACCCAAGTTCACACAAGGCCAATGAGGATCTGGAACAATCACAAGATAGAGACGACGCGTCCGTGAACACATCGAGCGAGGGGCTCGGGTAGGTGCCAAGACACTGAACCCCGAAAAACAGGAAGAGGAAGCCGGCAACGCAGCAGCCGACGTAAGGCACCCGGAGGCCAAATCTTGCGATCGTGAGAGCGACAGAAGGGACGTCCCCAAAGGAACCAGAACAGCTGATAAAGCCAAACCCGGCCTGGCAGATAGACCAACACGGCACAGTTCAGACTCCCGCACAAATCCTTGAGCAACTGTCTTGAGACCCGGGAGCCCTCCAGAAACAGCTGAAGGCGGGAACACAGACGCAGCAGAGACTCCAGGAGAGACAAGGAAGCTGTCTGAGAGTAACACAGTTAGGGGGGGGGGGGCTGGTGGCTGAGTGGACAGCACTCTAGACTTGTGGACTTAGGGACCAGGGTTAGATCCCGGTGCCAGCAGAAAAATAAATGGGCAGTTTCCTCACCCTAATGCCCCTGTTACCTAGCAGTAAATAGGTACCTGGGAGTTAGACAGCTGCTACGAGCTGCTTCCTGGAAGTGTGTGTGCAAAAAAATTAGTTAGTAGTTAATAACAGTTGATTGACTGACAGTTGAGAGGCAGGCCGAAAGAGCAGAGCTCAAACTCCGCAAGCATAACTAGATGAATACACAAGAACCAGCCAGGTCCGAACCTGAGAGGGGAATCAGATAGGACTTCCTCCAGTTCACCAAGAACCCAAAACCCGCGAGCTGGGAAAGAACCAAATCCCTGGCCTGACAGCTGAGTGGACAGCACTTCGGATTCGTCGTCCTGAGGTTCCGGGTTCTATCTCCAATGGAGGCGGAAACAAATGAGCAGTTTCTTTCACCCTGATGCCCCTGTTACCTAGCAGTAAATAGGTACCTGTGAGTTAGACAGCTGCTATAGGCTGCTTCCTGGGGATGTGAAACAAAAAGGCCTGATCGAGGACCGGGCTGCGGGGATGCTGAGCCCTGAAATCATCTCAAGATAACCTCAAAATAACCTGGCGAGCAGACACGTGGATTGACTGGAAGCCTACACCAGCCAGCCGTCGAGGTAGGCCAGAATCTGAAACCCTAAAAGATGCAAACGGCCCAATATGACCCAGGTTAGGCATGTGAAAATATGAGATGCCAGATTCAAGCCGAATGGAAGGCAACGAAGGCGGTAAACCTGATGCCCCATAACAAAACCGAACCAGTCCCTGAACCCCAGATGAATCGGGACGTACCAATATATGTACCGGAGGTCCAGGGACCATCTAAGTGCCCGGCTCCAAAAGAAGACAGACCTGGGACAGAGTAGTTATCTGAACGGAGGGACAAAAGATCCAGGGGTTCAGATGGGACAAGTCCAGAATGAACCGAAGGTCCGCGCAGTTCCATCTCAGAACTGGGAACAGGCGGGAAACCCACCCGAGGAATGAGGATGCTGCGACGACCCCCAAGTAAATCCACTCCAAGATGACCTGACAGAGTGCAGGGAGACGAGGCCTGCCTCGAACCCCCCAAAGGAGGAGGGGCCACCCAACGCCACCGCAGGCCGCAAAAACGACCCGAAACGCCCAAAAATCGTGAGACCAGGCATGAGCAAACAGTGCGAGATTTCCCTTCATCACCCCGTCAATGGGACGACCCGTGAATCTGACTACCCCCCCGAGCCCTGAAAACCAAAGAAGAGGGCTCCAGGGTTGAGCTCTCATCCACATCCACCACCCGGGAAGGAAAAGCGAAGCCCATGGGAAAATCTTCGAAGGAAGGAAGGAAGGAAGGAAGGAAGGAAGGAAGGAAGGGGGGGGGGGGTCGGCTGAGAAGACCCATAAGCCTCGACAGTATTGAAAGACTCAACTGTTTCCACGTCCATATCAGAAGGGGAAATCCCAAGATCCACCCAAGCCATATCCCGAGCTAAACCCTGCCCTATATCCGAAACCCTCAGATGTTTTGGAGCCGGAAGCAGGATGGGAGAAGGGCAAGTCATGCCCACCAAAGACGAAAGAGGAGTTGTGAACAGAACCACGATCAAACTAACCAAGATCCGAATCCCTAATTACAAAGCGAGGCAAATCCGGGGCATCCAATCAGGAACACAACCTAGACTGCTGCAACATGTGTAAAGTGGTCACCACCTGTAATCTCTGAACTTTAACAGAGGCACGGGTAAGACGAATCACATAGGGGGTACAAGTCCCACATGACTCAGGGTCGAAGATATCATCGACCCAGCAGGCAGCACAGCGGAGGCAGAACATATGAACATCATCTGGTGGAACTGGTAACGAACAACCCTCAAATTCCCACAAAGTGAGAGCAGGCTCAGAAGAGGTATCAATAGTACAACTGAGCCCACATGGGGTTTCTAGGGCCTGCAGGGTGAATGAGCCCTGCAGGAAGCCCAGACACTAGGATTGCTGTGCCAGTAATGCATGAATAGTACAGGCAATCCTGGCTACCTGAAACCAATGAAAGAGCCAAAGGGCGACAAGGGGTTCAACTGCACATGCCCAAGACAAAGCCTAATAACGCAAAAAGGAAGAACCCCTAAACACACCTGGGCAAGGTGACAAGAAATGCAAATAAAAAGCACAAAATCCCCAGGAGCAAACCGCAGAGCGAGCAACCGGGAAGAAGACACACCTTTCTGTTAGCTTAAGACATAACTGGTCAAGTAAACAACAATGTGCGCTCCTACCAAAAACACTGAGTTCAAAGACCACTGGCTTACCTGCAGGGCGAGGTCCACCCAAAGCGAGGAAGCCCCTTAAAGGGAGTGTATCCCGAACCCAGGCAAAAAAACATGCACGGGTAGCAATAAAGAAGTGCACAGCGAAGAAAACCTTGAGCACATGCAGCTCAGAGTACAACTCCTGGCTTGCACTACACAACCATGCAACCCGTTCTCGCAAATTCGTAAAGTCAATATTGACTTATTAACTACGTGCATAGGTGATATACTAAACATAATAGATACCCCTAAAAAGATTCATAGAAAACACCGACCTTACCTAACCTTGTTAGTATCTTAAGATAAGCATCTTATTGCTTCGTAATTACAATTATTACTTAACCTATACCTATTATAGGTTAGGTAATAATTGTAATTACGAAGCAATAAGATGCTTATCTTAAGATACTAACAAGGTTAGGTAAGGTCGGTGTTTTCTATGAATCGTTTTAAGGGTATCTATTATGTTAAGTATGTCACCTATGCACATATTTAATAAGTCAATATTGACTTATTAAATTTGCGAGAACGGGTTGAACCATTAATTGGAATAGCCTCAAAGGCAAAATACCATTCGAAAAAACAGGAGACTGGAGCCAGATGACAAGACAGCAACCAAGCACCATCACAATAGAACTGAGGGGTGGTGCGGACCAGCGGGCCCAATCTGCTTCATTCCCTGACAATTTTATCATAACGCCACTGCTCTTTGTGCCTCATTAAAGGGGCCAAGTTCTGGGTGGTGGTCCCTGTAGGCCTAAAAGAACTCCATGACTGATGGAACCTAGTAGTTTGGCACTAAATAAGCATTGTAGCTTCAGGGAGCCACCAGGACTCACCCAGAGATATTTTGTAATTCATGGAATTGTCAGATCTCATCTTCCCTTTTATTTCTGTTTCTCATCATAGGAAGCAAATGCAATCACAACTATACCCCCATTATACTTTAAAATTTACACTTCACACACAAGCCCCTTGAATGCCACCCGAAGACATTGTTCACCACCCCATACCATTTTTCATTAATGAACATTCTACTTCCTTACTATCTCTCTATTCATTTTGACATATGCTTTATGCAACTCCATAAATGCCATAGGTACCATAAAACTTCTTACATGCTTTCTCCACTAACTGCATCAATGTCATGTTTTTCCATCGTGGAACCCACCTTATTCAACACTAATATGTTATATTATGTACTCTTCATCTGGCGCAGCACCGACACAAAATACCAGAATTGTGTGAGCACAGAACATTCTAAAATAAAAAAACTCCAAAAAGACCCTCTAAAAAACCATCCTCATAATTCTAATGGATGTTGAGAAAGCCTCTGATAGCATGCATGCCTTGTTAAGAACACCAAAATACCCCAGAAAGTCTTCAGAAATTTTTCCTGTAATATTTATATACACTACCTTTTTCTGCCTCTGCCGAGCTTTTTTTGCAGCTTTCTTGGCATGTTTGGCTTCATCCATGTGATTGCCTTCTATGAAGTCTAAAATCTTATCAATATTTTGGCCTCCTAGTGGAGTACTGACACTCTTGGTTACAGGCACACCAGAGGTTACAGGAGAAGGAACAGCAGCTGGAGTTGGAGTATGTGTATTTGTTGAAGTTGTACTTGCAGAACATGACACTGCAGAACAACTACGAGCCTTTTTCTTTCTTGACAGGATTTGCAGCAGTCTGTCACGCCTATCACTGTATTTCTGTCTTCCACCACCCTGGTAATGAGAACAATGGAATGTGTTACTGCTCAAACATGCATAACCATCCTCCTGTCCCCACTCCTCTCATAGTAAGAGGCTTCTAAACACACAAAAATGGCATAAATACCAACTTCCAAATAACACATGCTTAACTAGAGTTAAATACAATAAGCTTTTAATTTTAAAGAAATCTTATATATGTAATTATAAAACCAAACTAAATACCCAACAAAATATTATTGAGATTATGACTAAAGAAGAGGGCATTACATTCATCTGCATCAATCTTCCCCAGTAACTTAGCATCATCTGCAAACCATTCTCATATAATTTTACATTCCTGCTGGTAGATCGTTTATGCAGACGTTGAACATTACTGGCGGAAAAACTAAACCCTGTGGTACTCCGCAAGTAAAACTCCTCCAGTTAGATACTGTACATTGTATCTAATTATTGCCCTCATTTGACTGTCTGTTAGATTTTTTTTTATCCATGTTAAGAGGTCCCCCTGTCACCCCCTCCAGCATGTTCCAGTTTCCAGAACAGCCTTTTATATGGGACTCTGTTAAAAGCCTTTTTTAGGTTCAGCTAGACACAGTCAATCCAACCACCTCTTTTCTGTAGTATCTCTGTGGCTTTATCATAAAAACTAAGTAGATTTGTTACACATGATCTTCCTGTTCGAAAACCATACTGTGTCCGTTATTATGTAATTACTCTCTAGGTGTTCAACTCATTTGTCTTTGACTATTGTTTCTAGTGCTTTGACTACCCCGCTTGATAGTGATATTGGTCTATAATTTAGAGGTTCCTCTCGAATACTATTTTAATAGTGTAATTACCAGAGTGTAGTTACAGGATGAGAACTAATGCTCGTGGTGTCCTGCCTTCCCAGTACTTTTTGTCATATACGGCTTTGAAACTACTGACAGTTATGAATCCATCCCCTGATGGGGCTACATTCTCCAAGACTGGTCACACATAAGTAATATAAAGCGCTCTGAATGCCTTTTAACTTAAGTTTCTGAATGACGTTCTAACTTTTGCTAGAGTAGGGCCTGACGGCTGAATGGACAGCGCTTGGGATTCGTAATCCTAAAGTTCCGGGTTCAATCCCTGGAGGAGGCGGAAACAAATGGGCAGTTACTTTCACACTGATGCCCCTGTTTGCCTAGCAGTAAATAAGTACCTGGTAGTTAGACAGCTGCTACAGGCTGCTTCCTGGGAATGTGTAACAAAAATGAGGCCTGGTCGAGGACCGGGCCGCGGGGACGCTAAGCCCCGAAATCATCTCAAGATAACTTTACACAGGCTTGTGTTGAATTCCAGTAGCTAATTCTCTATCCATCTCTACAGCTTGTTCATGTCCTCTTGGACTTGAACCTACAATCCTCATCTGTTAAAACTCGTCTCATTAATTTTGCATTGTCCGCGAACATTGCCATATACGACTCGACTCCTGTAGACAAATCGTTCATGTATATTTAAAATAGTACTGGTCCCAGCACCGATCCTTGAGGTACTCCACCTGCCTGTGATTGTTTTTGTTTTCTACTGTTTCTGACTCCAATGTGTACTCTTGTGGTTTGCGTCATCAGGTGTGCCACATTTACTGCGGCTGGTGTTCAGTTGTGGCTAAGCCTCTGTCTATGGTGACAACTTTACAGAAGGCCTTCCCACTATTGATACTCTTCTTCCCCTTCCTACTATTGATACTCGTCTCTCTCCATTGGCTTCGTTATGTTGATGACATTTTTGCTTTATGGCCTCGTGACCATAGTCTTTTCTGGCCTTTCCTCTCCTCTCTCTAACACTTTCGCCCGGCAAATGGATATTGCGTCCATAAATAACTTGATGGATGTCCAGCGGTGACGCATTTTGCGTCCAAAATTAAAATATTTGTTAAAAATTCAATTTTTTTTCCAGATCATTATGGGACTAGTTTTAAAATGTACGCTTTAGATTCCAAACAACTTGATACCAGAATGAACGACGTAGCATGTAAATTGAGGTGAGAAAACTGAACAGAGTATATACCTTTTAGTGTTGGTGAGCGGATGGGTGCTCACTCACGGGTAACGGTCGGCTGATTTTCGGGTTTGCTCCGGGTGGCACGTCGGGCTTTTTGACCTTATATACATATATCCCTTTAGAGAATTCTATTGTGAACAATTTGATACCAAAATGAAAAATGTAACACAAAAATTGACATGAGAAAACTGAAAAGAGTATGCACATTTTAGTGTGGTGCGCGCTCACAGGAAACGCTCGGCCCACCTTGGGGTGGGATGGGGCAGGCACGCCGGGGACACGAAAGTGTAACAATCTGGCTCCTTCTATCCACTTCATAGCTGAATTGGAATCTAATTCCCTCCTTCCTTTTCTTGATATTCATGTTAACAGCTTTGTGTCTGGGTTCACTTTCTCTCTCTATCTCAAACCCATGCATAGTGGTATGTACATTTATATCTTTTCCTACCATCTTCTTCTTGTTAAGAAAAATGTTCTTGTCTATCTCTTCATCCGTGCTCTGCGCATCAGTGACCCTCAGTTTATCAATTCTGAAATTTCCTTTATTTAAAAATCTTTGTCTCACGTTGGTTACCCCTTACACTTTATCAACTGTGCCTATTCTCAAGCTAAACAAAATGTCTTTCATCCCAAACCTGTTTCCAACACTAGTACCACTGTGCTCTGCCTTCCCTTCATATATGAACTAAAAAAATCTCACTAATACTCTTCCTCCTCTCGACATAAAGCTCGCCTTTCGAGAAAGTAATACTCTTCTTAGTAATCTGGTTCACACTGTTCCTCCTGCTTGTGATGCTGCTGGTGTCTACTCCATTTCCTGTTCGTCTTGTCCTATCCAATACTTTAGGGAAACTGACCATACACTGAATGAGACTTAAGGAACACAAAAGAAGTGTTAAGTCTGCATGCAATTTTCTGTCATGATAGGGATTCTAATCATCCTATGGATTGGTCTTCTAAAATAATCTTTCCCACCTCTACTCTTCACAGACACTGCTTTTCTTCTATTAGATGAGCCACTTTCAGTTCTTCAGGAAGAAGAGTGCTTCTGTGGGAGTCCTCCTTTTCTTTTTCTTCCTTGGGCTTCAGGTTCTGGTTTGATGCAGAGCTCAATTCCTTGGCTCTCTTCCTATGTGTTGGAAGAGGGTACAGAACTTTAGGTGACTGTGAGGTGAGATTATTCCTTACAAACCACCATGGGAGGTTGGTTATTAAGCTGGAGGGTCTTTGTCACATGGTATAGGAGTTTTGTTTCTGTTCTTGTTCAGCAATTTTATGCCTCCTCAGATGCAATTCAGAATACCTTATTCCGTTCAATGATGTCTGTTTGAACTAGGTGTTCCAGTTTTGCTTACCTGTATAATTCAAATGTGACCTGACAATCTTCCTACTGTGAGATTAGGTGGCAGTTTTTCGGTTAGGTTGTTTTAATGTACAGTAAGCACGGTTACAGTACAGTAAACATGGGTACTTTACTTACACGGATACTTAAAACACTTTACACGGGTAAAGTACAGTAAACCATACAGTAAGTGCGGTTAGGTTGCTATGGGGAGCTATATTATTACACTAAATGTTAGATATATATTTATTTATTTATTTTTATTTTTTTATTTATATATATATATATACAAGAAGGTACATTGGGTTTGTGAGAATACATTGAATAGTACAGTGTTTACAATCTTGTAAAGCCACTAGTACGCGCAGCGTTTCGGGCAGGTCCTTAATCTAACAGATAATTTTAAGTAGGTAATTTCTATCAGAATTGATAAATGATAACAAATACATTGCAAGAGAAAAATGAGATGAGAGAGCTTAGTAAGTATATTAAAGCACATTGTTATATATTTTTTTTTGTGTCTGCTAAATTTACCTGATTATGGTGAAGCATATGACAGTAACAGCAGTCACAGTGTGGGTCCTGGTGGGTGGATGACACAGTGGTTGAGGAGTCACTCTCGTCTCCACTGCTCCACTCATCTCCCCCACTCGTCTCACTCTCTCCCACACCTGCATGAATCACAAGAAATCAGTAAAATAAAGATGATCCCATAATTAAAGGACTAACAGACTAACATACAATTTTCTTATAGAGAATTGCTTCAAGTTGGTGAATTAAAACTTGCATTTTAATGTGATATGTACCGATTTATACAGTGGAACCTCGATTCGACATATCTCTGGTTGGAAATCCAGGCCAGATTTACTCACCTGATTTAACAAACACGAGTTCCCTAAACTGGGGGATGTGCAAATTTGCTCAGGATTTTGAGACAGAATTAAAAAATTGATGGAAAAAGTTACCCATTATATCATAGGTTACAATTAACCCTTGTGTTGCTAAGGGCTATTTGGCCTTTGACACCCACAGGCCCATAACAACAACAAAAATATATATATATATTTTTTCTTCTTAACCTGCTAATTTGTGTTCCCTGATCACGGAAAAAATAATAAAAAATCATAAGTGACAAATTTTGGCTGCAATAGGTCGGGAAAGTCTGGCAAAAAAGAGGCGCTGACTCAGCAAGCGTCAAGGAAAATCTGTTCGCCGAAACTGTCAGGTGGGTTGTTGCCACAAAGATATAATTACCTAATTATTTCAATGTGTCTGATTGATTTTGTCTTCATTTTTTGCTGTGATATTATTCAATAGTGTGTAGCGTGATATATTTATATAATAAAATGTGCGAACAATCGCTGTACTCAAAATTTTGGTGCATATTATTGATTCAATTATTATTATGCTCATAAAACAGTAAACAAATACTTTGTCGGTTATTACACTATATACACAGGTTGTATACAAGTACCTGCATGTTTTGTTCACCATAACGAACCACTAAGTTGATAATGTGAGTAAAAAAGCAACGAGGAGTGGCCACATCTGCCAGCCAACCTCTTTGCCACCATTCCCTCTCTCAAAAACTCATCACTCACCAAATTCCTCCTCCCACCATACTGTTTTTGTTTTCATTCTCTTATGTACAGACGTTATATATAAGTATCTACATTTGTGTTCACTATAAGGAACCATTAAGTTGGAATGCTGAGTCAAACAGCAGCAAGGAGTGACCACCACACACCAGCTAGCCCCGCCACTGGCTGCCACTCCCTCCCTCACCTCACCTGACTCGCCAAAATTCTCTTCCCACCATACTATTTTTTGCTTTTATTCACTATATACAGACGTTATACATAAGTATCTGCATGTTTTGTTCAGCATAGCGAACCTCTAAGCTGGTATAGCGAGTCCAGACAGTAAAAGGTGGTCACACAGAGTCAGCAGACAATGCTACCTCCCTCCCCACCAAGATTACTCCTCCCACTACAGCGCTAATTATCAGAACAATCCTGCTATTATCAGAATCCAGGACATTTTAATCACAGTCAGGGGTCTTCTGTTATACTATCATCGCTAAATAATAGCATGTACATATATATTTTGATATTTTTAGGAGATGCTATGGTCACAAGCTGAACAGCAGTGCTGTGAGCGCATGCTGCATGTGCCAGCCTTGGTGGCTCATTCAGTACTGAGGCCCTAACACCCGGGAATGTTGCTCACCATTTAAAAAAAATGGAGTCTGTTTATAAGAGCCCTGATGAAGGTGATGTGAACCCCGTGTATCCCCGGGCTGTTTAAATCTTGCGTAGTACTCCAACACGTCATATGACGTGATGCGCAATTTGGGGTAAGTTACCCAACACGTCATATGACGTGCTGCGCAGTTTAAGGGTTAATGGTTCCTTCAGTCAAATCAGCCCAAAGGTCATGGGGAAATACAAGGGTATGAACGGTAACTCCCTTAATAGGGCTTCAATCACCTTTTTATTGATTTTCATAGATGGACATAAGATTAGATGATAGGATTGGGGGGTCTTGGGAAAGCAACTAAGCATATTTCAAACAAAATTGTATGGGTCTTTTTTAATTTTCCATTGCAGAAGTTGTCGTTCAGTAAAACATGGGACACTTTTTCCTTTCAAAATGAGATTTTAAGGCTAGGGCATGGGAAATATATTAGACATGGATAAATCTCTTTACAGACAGGTTCTCTTGGTAAAAGTCCTTCATATGACAGGTTGTAACTAAAATTTTGCTTAGTCAAATCAACCCTGTGTGGGAAATATTAAGATAATGAAAGGTATCTCTGATAATATGGCTTCAATCACATTTTAATTTATTACAGTACACAAACAATATTGTAAGAAACAGTTGAGATTTCCTGGTTTTCATTCACAAATATGGACCTGTTTTCCTCTGAACATGAGGTTTCGAGGTTAACTCTCTCTATAGACAGGTTCTCTTGGAAGTTATCCTTCATATGGCAGCTAGAAATTAAAATTTCACTCTGTGAAATCAGTCCATAGAGCATGGGAAATATTAGGGCATGAATGGTAACTGTTAATATGGCCCTAATCACGTTTTTAGTGATTGTTATAGATGCACACGCTATATCCTCGATCTGGTTGGGTGCTCATGCTTACTCACATGTGTCGACCACTTCTCCAGATGGCCTGAGGCAGTTCCTATGGTAGAGATGACAGCTGAGAGGGTAGTTCGGGCTTTCCTTCATGGGTGGGGACCGACTATAGTCCCTGGGATTAATTGGATAAAGTCCCTGGGATAAAATTACTGGGACCGACTAAAGAGCCTAAATCTGTACTCCCTTGAGCGCAGGCGGGAGAGATACATAATAATTTACACGTGGAAAATAATTGAGGGGCTGGTCCCAAACCTGCACACAGAAATAACATCACATGAGACCAGAAGACATGGCAGGATGTGCAGAATACCCCCGTTGAAGAGCAGAGGTGCAACAGGTACTCTGAGAGAGAACTCTATCAACATCAGAGGCCCGAGACTGTTCAACACGCTTCCACTACACATAAGGGGCATAACTGGCCGACCCCTCACAGTGTTCAAGAGAGAACTGGATAAGCACCTCCAAAGGATACCTGATCAACCAGGCTGTGACTCATACGTCAGGCTGCGAGCAACCGCGTCTAACAGCCTGGTTGATCAGTCCAGCAACCAGGAGGCCTGGTCGACGACCGGGCCGCGGGGACGCTGAGCCCCGGAAGCACCTCAAGGTAACCTCAAGGTAAGGTGGGTCTCCCACTTTGGAACCCGTGTGTCACTGACCAGGGTCAACAATTTGAGTCACACTTGTGGAGGGAACTGGTGCGGTTCCGTGGTACCACACACAACCAAACTACGGCCTATTATCCTTAGGCTAACAGGATGGTTGAAGGGCCACAATCAGACCTGATTTCATGGATTGATAACCTTCCTTTGGTACTACTTGGCACCTGTTTGGCAACTAAAGAGGACAGTGGGTTCTCAGTAGCTAATCTTGTACTGTATATGGTTCTGATCTTTGGTTTCCTGATGATCTGATCACTCCAACACCATACAATGAGTTGATGCATACATCGACCTTCACGGAGCACCTTTGGAGGGTGATGTTGCAGATTCGTCCTATGCCACCCCCGTCACCCATCTACACCTTGTCACTGTAGTAGTGGGAAACGAGACTAGAGTACAACGTTTTGCTTTTTTTAGAGTTGCACTCTAGTCATTTTCGTTACCCCGGCGAGAGTTTGCTCCCGTCCAGGTTCCACTTTCGGAGTTGCACTCTAGTCTCCGTCATTTATCGCTAACCCCATTACCTACATAACCCAGGATGTTCTCTCTACTAGCCATGTGTTTCTGAGGGTTGACGACGTGCATCAGCCACTACAGCAGCCATATGAGGGACCTTTCCGGGTGCTGTCTAGGACTCCGAAAACCATTACTAATGATCTCCAGGGTGCTGAAGTGGTTGTCTTAATCGATCAGGTGAAGCAGCACATTTCAACGCCATGTTGGCAGTGGCAGCCCCAGCTGTTGCTGCTGTGGAGGTCTGGTACCCCACACCAACAAACTGAACCCCCACCATCAGCAGACTCTCTTCCTGAAGATCTACCTACTGGTTTCTTTCATCTTCCAGGACCATCTCCAGATCCAAGACCTCCAGTGCCTACTGATGATGGTATGGATGACAGCAATGGCGCCATCAACATGGAGGGTAGTACTACTCGCACAGGATGCACAGTGCATCGCCCTGCCTGATTCCTGGACTCTGTTACCTTGTTGCCTGGAGAGGATTGGTGGGTGGTGGGTGGGTTGGGTACTGTAGTGACTTCAGTACCCCCTACACGGAGTAGGGGTGTACAGCAACAATACTGTACGGTACTTGTACTGTACTTGAGAACTGCAACCCAGTCACAGCATACCATATAATTAATTGAGAAACAACAAAACATAGTAAGGTCTTGAATACATGATAATGCTTAATAAGACATGCCAAACAAAAAAATACAGCACTCACTTTCTCTACTGGTTGATCCATCAGTGCGTTCCACCTGATGCTTTAGCGAATCATCCAACCCATTCAAACATTTACCTGTAAACAGATTAAGAAATAAATCATCCATTCTTATCATATACAATGGGGAAGCAGTTCTCTACTAGCATGGATATGACCTTTACTTCCAAGCAGGAATGTGACCCTTTCTCCAGAGCGGGTATGTGACAAACTAGCTGGATTTACTCAGGTGGCAACCAACAGGAAACATGTGGTATGTGAACCTTTCCCCTGAGCAGGGATGTGAACCTTCCCACTGAGCAGGGATGTGAACCTTCCCCCTGAACAGGGATGTGAACCTTCCCACTGAGCAGGGATGTGAACCTTCCCCCTGAACAGGGATGTGAACCTTCCCCCTGAGCAGGGATGTGAACCTTCCCCCTGAACAGGGATGTGAACCTTCCCCCTAAACAGGGATGTGAACCTTCCCCCTGAGCAGGGATGTGAATCTTCCCCCTGAACAGGGATGTGAACCTTTCCCCTGAAGACATGTGAACCTTTCCCCTGAGCAGACATGTGAACCTTTCCCCTGAGCCAGGATGTGACCCTTTCCCCTGAGCAGGCATGTGAACCTTGCCCCTAAGCAGGAATGTGGACCTTCCTCCTGAACCACTCCTCAAACCAAGGCAAAGGCATCAAGCCATAAGGAAAAGAGCTCCATGGAACTGAACTCTGAAAAACCTGAAGAGGAAGCTGGCAAAGCAAAATCCAATGAAGAGCAGAAAGTGCCCGAACCCAATGGTCCCAGCAGTAGTTACAGGCAGACCTTGAGAAACAAGAACAATGCCCAGAGCCAAACTCTGACCAAGGATAAAACCATCTGGGGAGTACTGCTTGGGGACTAGGAACAACCAACACCCCCACATGAAGAGGTGACCCAGTTGGGCCAGTGAGAAAACCCAGAGTTGAACCCCTTCCAAAATGCCTCAGAATGATGCCAACCAAAAGAAGCCCAAAAGAAGAAGTGCAACTGCTTGAGAATCAGGGTCTACTAGAACTCTGCCTTGACCTGCAACAGGTGAGGGCCTATTCCAGAAAGGCTTCCTTCGAGCAAAAGGAACAGATCCTCTCTGCAGAAGAACCAGATTGAGGGGCTGGAAGGTAACAACCATGGCTGTGAGCAATGAGGAAATAGCCTCCTCAATAAAAAGAAGAGGTAAAAATAGGGAGCTGGACAAAAGGGATGAGAACCAAGCCAAATCTAAAGCCTGTGCCAGCAGTTCATTGACACACGAAATGGGCAAGGAAAAAGACCGCCGCCATCTTCTAAACGAGGGCGACATCCAATCTGGGCAGAGCCACAAAAGCTGGAAATGCAGGTAACAAGGAACCAACACCTGGAACTGAAGACACATATAGGCCACCTGGAGCTGGTCTGAGAAGAGCTGAATGTGCAAAATGACCACCAAATGAGCATGGGCCCTGTGATCCTTCGTGATCAGGGCCCCAGAAAGCAAAGGCAGCCGGACATGTCTTTGAGAAGAATCAGAGCAAAGCAGCAGCTCTTAAGAAGGGCAAAAGAAGCACCCCAAGAACACTTGAAAGACGGAGCTCATTGAATGCCACTCAAGCGTGTGGGTTTGACAATAGTCATGTCAAGTCCAAAGAAAAACAGGGTTGTCACCATGCCAAGATGAATCATAGCTGCAAACCACAGCCAAAAGACCGAGGCTGACCCAAATGAGGTCGGGTCCATCAAAAAAGCATGGTCCTGATCCTGCATAAATAGAAAGAGGTCCACTTGAGCTGAAGAAGCCATTTGGCGAGGTTATGGAAACCTCTGCAAATTTGATGCATCTGAGGACTCTAGCAGTACACGGAAATGAACCCAGGGTAGTACTGGGTTCATTTCAAAGGGAACAGCAGCCAAGGAATCCAGCTAAAACAAAACAAGAGGATTAGTATACAAGTATAATCCTTTGCCAAGAGTAAACCATCCTCCACAGACTAAACCAAAGATCAGGCATCAGGCACCTGGCACCCAAAGATTGGGCACCTGACAGCTGGGTGGACAGTGCTTCGGATTCGTAGTCCTGAGGTTCCGGGTTCAATCCCCAGTGGAGGCGGAGACAAGTGGGCAAAATGTTTCTTTCACCCTGATGCCCCTGTGCCCTAGCAGTAAATACGTACCTGGGAGTTAGACAGCTGCTACGGGCTGCTTCCTGGGAGGTGTGTAACAAAAAAGGATGCATGGTCGAAGACCGGGCTGCGGGGACGCTATAGCCCCGAAATCATCTCAGGCAGGGTTGAAGGACACCCAATAACCCTCCTCGGGTTCCCCCAAGCCCCGAAGGTCATACATGAAGGCCTCGGTGCAGAATTATATTCCAAGCCTGCTGCCTGACCAGGCAGAAAGACATCATCAGAGCTAGGCATGCCACCATGAGAATTAGATGGCTCCAAATCCCCAGCAGAAAGATATAGCTCAACTGTCTCTGCTGTCAACGTGAATAGGGCAAATCCTGTAAGCACCAAGTTGAATACAAGTGAAATGAGCTCATAGGGCAGCTGCTGCCTGATATGCCTCTTAACTTAAGGGAGGCTCACCCACCCAACAGATAGAATGACAGTGAGAAAGAATGACCATCAGCATGTAGCAATATCAATAGACATTCCTTGCACTAAGAAGTAGCACCCTACACAGTAATGTGGCATCTCTGGGATAAACTCCAGAACCAACTAAAGAAGTCTCAGGATAGGGAAACATTATACGAGAACATAGGGAAAGGCTACCTCAATACATACAGCTCAAGGCGAGTAATTACCCAAATCCACACATGAAAAAATTCTGCATGGAAAAACACTCACATGAAGCAAACACTAGACTTGAAAACAATACACAAGCAAATGGCACTCACAAGACCAAAGGATGGTAACACTTAGTTGGAAAAAACTGGGATCTACTAAAGCTGGCAATTCAAGGAATGGTCCACACATTGGGACACTATCAATAGGACTCAGCTGTTGATAGTGCAGAGCACCCAGTGGTGCTGCCAACTGACGGTGGCTAAATGGAATAAGGGGGTTCGACTTGAATAGTTGGATAGAACTGCTAAATGGATAGTATGTGTAGTTATTTGCCACTTTATCTTTTCTGTCAATGTTGCAGTTGTTTGTTTTGTGATGCGTAATTTCTTGATATTTCCTTGGTGAGGGTTATCTTCTTGAGGTTATCTTGAGATGATTTTGGGGCTTTTTAGTGTCCCCGCAGCCCGGTCCTCCACCCCCAGGAAGCAGCCCGTGACAGCTGACTAACACCCAGGTACCTATTTTACTGCTAGGTAACAGGGGCATAGGGTGAAAGAAACTCTGCCCATTGTTTCTCGCCAGTGCCTGGGATCGAACCCAGGACCACAGGATCACAAGTCCAGCGTGCTGTCCGCTCGGCAGACCGATTCCCGATCGGGTGATCATAAAAATCTCCTGGGTCCCTGAGCCTCTCTGAGGGGAATGTGGAGGAGGGGGGCCAGGTTCTGGCTCTGGTGTCATTAAGGACACCTATGGTTAATGTGGCTCATGTGTGGAGGAGCAGTCTAACTAAGCTAGCTGCAGGGAACCATTGTTTGGGCCCTTCAGAAATTTTTGTCTAAATAAACGTTTTCAATGAGGTATCCAATAGCAAGTTGGTGCATTACTTATATGAATAGTATTCAATATGTCAAGGTCCAACTTGGAGGTTCCATTCAGCAGTACATACTATACTACCCTTGTTTTATAAAAACCCTTGTTATAACAACATATTCTGTTATGATAAATAGATTTTTTTGATGTGAGAAAATGGGAAAAGAATGTTAGTTGCTGATTTTGTACTATATAGAACCTTTAACCCACAAATGGCAGCCTGCATTATCAACAGATGAACTTTGAGTTCAGTTTGTAAATTACAATAATTACCAAGATTTTACATGATTATTTTTACTAAAAAGATAGACTACTATATGCATCAGTCATTAATTAAAAGAAATTTGGAATATGTAGTATTATTGTGGGCACAAATAATTATGCAAAATAATAGTCAACAGCTCTCTTAAAAACACATAAGCTCTGTTAGAATTATATTTTTAAATAGAAATGGTCCTTGGTGCTGAAAAAGATGGTAACCAATGCACTATATCAGTCAACACTTTGTGCCTGTTTCATCAAAATCTACCGGATATTCCAAAAACGGTTTCAGTAATATAACTTAAGCTTATCAAAACGTTGAATATTAAAGCATTACCTTTTTGAGTAGAAGCAGTTGTGTGCGTATGGTGAGCTCGAGTGTGCGTAATGACACTTGTTGTATTGGTGATTGAACAGCACTTGGTACCTCCCACTGATGACACTTGAGGAACAGACAGACAACTGCCATCTGTACAAGGTGTGCCATTTCTACTACTCACAGGAACTTTGGATGCATGACAAGATGTTGATGATACAGGATGACTGGCAGTGCTTGATGAAGGCTGGCTGCTGGGAAGAATGGTAGTATGTGCTCGGGCAGTGGCGTGAGAATCAGGCACATATGGCAAAGAAGGATCCACCATGGTGCGAGTGTATGATGGTCGTGAGGAACTGATACGTAGGGTTTCCACGCCACTTACGAGGCTTGATGGATCAGTCCTGTGTTAAGTATAGAAGTAAACATATAAATAAATATAAACCTACAAAACTGTAAACTTTATTTCAGTTAGCATATTACTTTATATAAATTACTAACTTAAAAACAATACTACTTCTCTAATAGCATTTTCTCTATTAGAAAACACCAAAAAAATTTAATCAAATAAGACATATTTGGATAACCAAGCAGAAACACATTAATAAATGGGGGATAGCTTAACACTTTGGGAGTTTGGCTGTGCTGCACCTTCTTGACTGAACATTCTGAGCTCTGTTGGCCGCTCACTAACCGTTCAGTGATGAGAAAAAACCAGTGTTCAATTAAATAAAATGACAATTAATGGGTGAGCCCCGGTGGCTTCCTGAAGCTATCATACAGAGATCAGTGCCATCAGTCGCAGAGTTCTTAGCCTCCTGGGGACTACGAGCCAGAACTTGGCCCCCTCAGAGAGTGTGGTGGCAATATGAACACCTTACATTTAGTCATGTCTGCCACCACCAGGGAAGGCTCCCAGAAAGTTAGTGAAACAAAACAGACTACTGCATGGTTACAACAAAACAGCAGCCTCAAAAACAAAAATAAAAACTACCAAAATTTTGTGAAACTAGCACGAGCTAGTTTGCCCCACCTCTACCCCTACTTTGGGGGGGAGGATGGAGGCAGACCAAGTCAGTCGGCTCGCCCTACCCACAGTTCTTATGACGAAGGAACACACCGACTTCCTGGGGGTGTCAGGGATGCTCAAGGGCTCACCCAGAAATTAGTGTTTCATTACATTCAATGCCGTTTTTTTAAGGGGAGCCCCTTAAGGCTCCCTGAAGCTAACTACCCACAGAGAAGAAAAAAAGGCACTTACCAGGGAGGAGGCAGCGCAGCAGGTATCAAAACAAAAAGATACCTTTGTTCATGACGTATGTCCTAAGACATCGTTAGACCGCTGAAGGCCAGGAACCTTCACGAGATACCAGGTTGCCAAGATCCTGTTTGACCACCAAAACCCCAAAACCCGAATATTGGACCAAGACATATTCGCAAACACAGCTGGCAGAGCCCCATAGCTTCAGATATCATGGGAATGAAAGTAGATCACAGGCTGGTTAGGTAATAAGACACTGCGGACGATGTAATAATTGTGAGCCTTGGAACAGGGAGCCAGAGAAAGTGGATCAACCCATAGAGTCCACTGAAGAAGAACTGGTAGCCCAAAGGCAGTGTTATGATGCTGCCACTGGACAAATTGCATGAAACACCCCCTGGTGGAGCCAACCAAAAATCCATAACCAAAGGACCTCTCTGGAAATAAGCAGACTAAGTCTTTGCCAGTAAAGAAGAAGCTGGCAGCACCCTAACGAAAAGCCTACCAGGGCCAAAAGAACAAAACCAAATCCAGACCAAAGGGGCCACCATAAATTGAGTAGAAGAAAGAAGAACCCGGTGAAGGGACCGCAGGCTCAGGGGCCTGCAAAACTTCTGCAGGGTAAAAGAGGCAACCACCCAGAAAGCAAGCTGGAGCGGCTCCGCCAATGCTGCACGAGAAGAGGCAACTGTATTTGGCAAAAGAAACTGAGCAAGAAACAGCCAAGAAAGTAAGTACCAAACCTCAGAAGCTGAAGAACAATGATGAAGGGACATAATAAGCGGAAGGAATGCCAAAAGACTGCTAACTGTCACCGGGAAAAAGACTGCAGGTGGGACACCTTTAACAAGCCACCTGACCACCACAAGGGTGACCCACATGCTTCAAAACCCCAGACACGAAGAGTGGAGAAAGTTAAACCAATGAAGCCAGTTAAACTAACGAACCACTAAGCGAAGTGGTTAGTGGTTAAACCACTAAGCGATCCCTTCGAAAAAAGGTGGAGCCACAGAAAAATGCTCACGTCAGACACCGGAGCAAGCAGCACCAGAACCAAGGCCGGGCCGGCCACCAAGGTGCTAGAATGATCACCATCCTCCTGATATACTCCAACAACACCAGAACCCAGAGCAACAACCAGACATGGGGAAGGAGGCAATACCCCTCCCATCTCAACCAGTCCAGCCAAAAAGTATCTAGCGAGAGGCCTTACAGTCAGAGACCAGTGCCGCATTGACATGAAGAGGCTGACGTCTGGGCGCCCGAACATCCGACAAGCCAGAGTAAGAAAGTGTTCCCGACGGTCCATACCATGGAACCAGGAAGGAACCTAGACAGACCAACAGTCAGCATGTCAAGACACTCTGAGCGGGAAGGCACAGAAGCCAACCCAAGAACCAAGCAGATGAGCTACTCGAGTGACCTGCCCCAAAGAGACAAGGACAGAAGAGACCCTCCTCCCACCCCCCTCTGGAGAACCACAGGGAAACACCCCAAATGGAGTCAGGTCACAGAGGCTAGAGGAATCCAAAGTCACCACAGCGCCTGCCACATGGCCACAAACATCTAAACTGCACAGTACGCCCAATGAAGGGAAGGAGGCCAACAACCCCGGCATGACAAGTAAGTGCTGGAAAGAAAGGCCTGAGGCACCCAGGAAAAACATCTAGCAAGAGTGGAAAAAAGCAGCAGGGAACAGAACTTCAAAAAACCCCAAGACCAAGCTAGCGATGCAGAGCCTCCAGAGTCCATTCCCAGCGATTGCGAGAGGAGAAAAGGCTGCCTCGAAGAAACCAGAACAGACCTCCAGGCCAAATCCCAAAGGAAAATGAGATGGGCAAAAGTTCTTCTTCAACTATCTGATCAAAATCAACGATTTTGGCCATATTTTGAGAATGGCAAAAGTCCCATCTCAAAAGTCCCCCACACAACTACTCGAGCAACTGCAGAGTTACCCGGCTCCCTCTCAACACCAAAATACAGAGTTGCTGCAGCCGGAGCAGGGCCACCAGAAGCAAGGAAAGCGATGCTGACCGCAAATACCAAACCCGGCCCAACCAGGTTCGAACCTGGGATGTAACAAACTGGGACTTCTACCAGGTCACCAGGAACCCGAACCTAGCGAGCAGGGAAAGAACAAGAACCCTGGCTATCAGACAAGCAGACCGGCTGGGGTAGTCACGAGGTAGGCCAACATCTGAACACATAATAACTGAAGGTGGGCCACCACGGCCCGAGTTAAACATGCAAAAAATGGGAGGTGCCAAAATCATACCGAACAGGAGAAACCCGAAAGTGGAATGCCTACTAACCCATCCCAAAACCTAACTAATCCCTGAACCTTGGATGGATGGGGACACGCCAATATGTATCCTGGAAAACTGGGGAAATCATCCAAATGCCTGGCTCGAGAACAAGACAGATCGGGGACAATGTGGTCATCCAAAGATAGGGACAAGGAATAAACTGTTCAATCTGAAAGGTCGAGAAGGAACTAGAGGCCCAAACAATCCCATTTTGGGACCGGAAATGGGGAGACCCACAAAAAAAAAACAAAAAAAAAAAGAAGTCGTTTCGACCATGCCCAAAGCTACCCTCTCCGAGACGACCTGAAGAAGGTAAATAGAGCGAGCCTGACCCAAAAGTTCCTGTCCTCCTCGAAAGAGGAGGGATAAACCAACACCATAGCAGACTGCATGAAACAACTCAAAATGCCCACAAATTGCAGGACCAAGAGCTGGCAAACCAAGCAAGCTCCCCTTCCCCTACCCCATCAAAGGGGCAAAAAACGAAAGGACTGGCATGAACCAGAGAGCCTGCGTTTTGAGCAGAGCGAGCACTGCACCGACCAGGCGAAGCCCAGGGACTCACATCTGAGCCAGCTGCAGGCACCACAGACGACGCACCTTGACAAACAGCAGGTGAAGCCCTGGCTCGTCTGGATATTTGTGAAAGGCAAGAACGACCCCCATGCATACACAATAAGTCCGACACAGGATGGCAGCCAACAGTCACAGCCACAAGAACTGAGAGACAAGGTCCTCAGGAAACAAGAAAGAACAAAAGGGGGGAAGCAAAAGAGGGAGCTAGGGCCCATACCGAGTCCAAAAACTGGGCCAGCACAGCTTGCCGACATGTGAGACAGGCGATACGAAAAACAAATATTGACTCCTGGAGAATCAGAGCAAACAGCTTAAAACTAAGATAAGAACTAAGAACCTCCACACGAGGGATCGCACCAAGAGTCCCAACATTCTCCTCGGGCAAGCATCAAGTGTCCCAACATCCTTCTCGAGCCAGCAGCAAGTGTCCCAACATCCTCCTCGAGCAAGCAGCAAGTGTCCCAACATCCTCCTTGAGCCAGCACCAGTGTCCCAACATCCTCCTTGAGCCAGCACCAAGTGTCCCAACATCCTCCTTGAGCCAGCACCAAGTGTCCCAACATCCTCCTCGAGCCAGCACCAGTGTCCCAACATCCTCCTTGAGCCAGCACCAAGTGTCCCAACATCCTCCTCGAGCCAGTCAGAATGAAGCTTGAGGAGGCTCAGGAAAGCATGACTAAAGCCAAGTGCGAATGGGCATGAAGGTCGCCGGCAACCAAGGTGACCGACCAATGAGGAACATAAACATGTAGCTGCAAAAGACCTACAACACAGGAAAGGGCAGGATCGAAGAGGCAAACATAAGAGACCTGCAACACCGAAGGCACCTCACTCCAGTTAAGTGTGTGGTTACTGCAAAACCCGTACCAAGCCCCAAAGGAGTACAAAGGACAGTCTGCTAGCTAAGATGACTCTGGACTCTTACAATGTACCCAATAAGGGAAAGAAGAACCAAACTCAAACGAACTTGGTTCCACAAACGAGGTATAGACCGGGTTGCACCAGAGGTACGAACTAATGGCTTAGTTCGTACCGCCAGAAGGACGAATCCAGACCCGAAGGGGCACAGGAATGAATCCTGGGAAAAGGCACACCTGACTCAAATTCATACCGGGAAAGTTGTGTGGGGGAAACCCCACACCCTGCAACAAAAGACTGCAGAAGATACAAGGGCCCACCAAGGATCAAAAGGGACCCCAAGGCTCCAATCCGACTTGCCCCGAGAACCGCAGAGGGCGGCCACGGGGCAGAGCCCCTGTCCACACCCACCTTCCGGGAAGGAAGAGCAGAACCCAAGGGAAAGGCCTCAAAGGAAAAAGGTCAGCTGGAAAGATCCAGAAGTCCTGGCAGCATCAAGAGGCTCAACTGCCTCTGCACACGTGTTAGACAGGGGCAACCCCAGGATCAGACTAAGTCAAATCCTGAGTTAAACCCCACCCCAAATCAAAAACCCCTCAAGATTTCCACTCCCCCCCCTGCTTCCGGTTCAAAAGAAAGCCGGAAGCAAAGGAAAGGGGGGGGGGGGGGTTGGAGGGAGAAGGGCAAAATCGGCCCACTAGGCAAGGAAGAGGAAGAGCAGACTAAACCACGGTCGAATTGACCAACACCTTCAAATCTGAGTCCCAAAACACCAAACAGGGCATATCTGGGGCATCTAACTAGGCACACAACCTAGACTGCTACAAAACTGAGAACCTTAAATGCCAAACTGTCACTGCCTAAGGCTCTGAACCTCTAGAAGTGAATAGGTGAGAAAAGCCACATGGTAGGTGCAAGACACCCATGACTCAAGGTCGAAGGTTTCACTGACCCAACAGGCAGCATGTTAGAGGCAGAACATATGATCATCACCAGGTGGCACAAGCGACAAACACCCTCAAATTCGTACAAGGCGAGAACAGACCTGGAAGAGGTATCCATAGTAGACCCGTTCCAGTGCCTGCAGGGTGAATGAGCCCTGCAGGAAGCTCAGGCACCGAAACCTTCCAGAATAGGCAACCCCAAGCCGCCCAAAGCCAATGAAAAAGTAAAGGGGGCAACAAGGGGGGGTTCAACCATTAGGCTAAGCCTAATAAGGCAAAAAATATTCACCAAGCACAAATAGGAAAAGTAACAACTGAAAAAAGTAAACAAATGCCCAAAGTCCCCCAGGACCAAACTGCAGAGAACAAGCAACTCCCAGATAATAACTGGTGGCCTCACCGGCACTCTGATTATGTCGCGCGAACGACAGTGCGCTCCACCAGCAAAAACACCCCCAAACCTATTGAAAGGCAGACGATCACAGACTACTTGCTTACCAAACCAGGGTGAGGGTGACCCCAAGTGAGGAGACCCTCTACAAGGACTATCCTGAGCACCACAGAGAAGAGAACCCTGATCGTGCACGGGAAGAAAACCCTGAGCCCATTGCAGCTCCAAGCATTCCATAGCTACTGGCTCTCGCTAGACAAATGTGTATAAGAACAACCCCAAAGGCAAACACCAATTAGCAAAAACAGAAGACTGGAGTCAGAATGAACCGAGAGAGCAACCCACACCATGCTACATCAGCGCAAGAACTGAGGGTAGGGAGAGCCAGCTGACCCGGTCCACCTCCCTTCTCCCCTCATTGATGGGGGTGGTGGTGGGGCAAACTAGTTCACAATCGTTTCACAAAATTTTGGTGGTTTGTTTCCACTGTTGGGGGGGGGGGGGGGTTCTTTTGGCAATTTTTGAGGCTGCTGTTTTGTTCTAACCATGCAGTAGTCTGTTTAGTTTCATTAATTTCCTGGGTGCCTTCCCTGGTGGTGGCAGACATGATTAATTAACTGTAAGGTGTTCATATTGCCACCACTCCCTATGCCCTTCTGAGAGGGCCAGGTTCTAGCTTGTAGTCCCCGGTTGGGCAATAAGAACTCCGCAACTGATAGTGCCTAGTTGTATGGCACTGAATCAGTGTGATAGCTTCAGGGACCCCTCAAGGGGTTATGGCCCAGAGATGTTTATAATCATTCTACATTTTCTAAGCTATTTGTAGGGTTAAAACTATAAATTTGGTGTCAAAATGTTTGCAACTGGTTTCTCTATATGTAAAAACTAAAGTGAATTTATAATAGATTATCAATGACAGCAATGAATATATGAATCTTTACAAATAGCAATCTGACCGATGCATTTTAGCATTGTTGACCAGACCACACACTAGAAGTTGAAGGGACGACGACGTTTCGGTCCGTCCTGGACCATTCTCAAGTCGATTGTGATGAGGAGGTAGGGTCAGGCAATAAATAGGCAAGAGAGAGCTGAGGAGGAAAGTCAGGTGTAGGGGATAGTAGTACTATAATAGTACTATCCCCTAGTACTATAGTAGTACCCCCTAATTCCCCTAGAATTATAGTAGTACTATAATAGTACTATCCCCTACACCTGACTTTCCTCCTCAGCTCTCTCTTGCCTATTTATTGCCTGACCCTACCTCCTCATCACAATCGACTTGAGAATCATCCAGGACGGACCGAAACGTCGTCGTCCCTTCAACTTCTAGTGTGTGGTCTGGTCAACATACTTCAGCCACGTTATTGTGACTCATCACCTGCATTTTAGCATTATTGGAACGTTTATTGCCAGAATGTGGACGACGCGTTTTAACATCATTGGAACGTGAAGGTGTTAACATGACTTATTATACGAGAATACAGAATCTATGTAAACTGAATTAATACATCAAATCATTACATACTCATATGTTTGTAGGACAGCTTGTGGTGGGGGCATCATGGGGTGTGAGCCCGGGGGAGTGAGTGTGTCTCCATACACCATTTCCCATTCACGCATCAGCTGCTCTGTCAATAAGTCGCTTCCCTGTAGAAGAAAATTTAGTTATTTTAACCTATTTTAACATGGACAAAGACATTTTATACATTATAAGAGAAATAGTAATGTGATGCAAGGAAAGCTTGGGGTGCTAGTTTTAATACCTTTCTAGTTTTCCCTTGATCACTTGCATCACTATCATGTCTATCAATAACTTTAAAGTACTGTAATTTCTTAAGAGTAATAAGAGTAATTTCTTAAGTTTCTTAAGAGTAATTTGTAAACATATTAATGAATAAGTAATCAAAATGATATAAAGAAGCTTATAATAAATTAGTAATATAATCTTAAACAGCAATAATAAATTTTCAAATAATTTCTAAATCAATGAATATACCGTGCATGCTAACACAGATATTAACACCATTTATTTTGTTGCCAATTTATACATCCACAGAGTTCAACATTTTTGTCATCCAAGACCAGCCTGACATCCAAGAGGTTTTTGGGTGGTCTGATTACATGTTAAAACAATCTAGCTGTTGAGTGCACAGGAGAGCACTGTTATGTGCAGCACACCCAGTTGCTCCCTAAGCCAAGAGCCTACTGACCTCTGGTTACTACCGCCATTGTCTGGCCAGGTCAACATTTCACTACTGTGCGGCAGGAAACTCTTCAAACTATTCCTGTTGGGTCTACTGGTGCTAGACACTAGATTACCCACTTCAGCCCCATACGTAGAGAAAAAGTGCACTACATAAACCCAAAAATGTTTTCAGGCACAATTGGGTATAAGCAAAAAGAGATTACCAGGCCACACCTTATCTAACAAACTCCAGAAACCACATAGAACCACCAACAGCACAACAAACCCCCTCCCCCCCCCAAGCCCAATTTCCTGACATTCTACCTAAACCTTAGGGTAAGGAAAACCTGGAAAGACTGTAAACAAAGGGTAGGAATATGAGCAACTGATTGTACTGCAGAGAATTGTGCCTTTAAAAGGTACAAAGGCCTTGATTTTCAAGCTATCCCACTTAGTACTTAATATGGCAAGTGCTGGTTCAAGCTGCCACAACTTTGACATGGAAAGGGTTCAATTAAGCTGCATACTGGTACAGTGACCAACACACTTATCACACACACACACTACCTATTTGTTTTGCCAGGTTTGTTGCAGTGCAAAAATCCCCAATGGTGTTTACAAATAGTTCTGAAGGAAGGCTGCCTGAGGTGGATGTCATGTGTATCTATATCTATGCTGCAGGGAGAGGGAATCCTATCTTCCTCCTCCGTTATTTTGAGTATGAAGTATACCTGGAAAATACCTGGAGTGGTTTATGAGTTCTTCTACTGCTAAAGCCTAGCCTGGAGCCAGGCTTGACTTATGATAATTTGATCTAGAAGGCTGTTGCTTAGCATAGCTTGCAGGCTCACCTGTCCATTATAAGCCAGCACTTCCTGCAGAAACTTGTCTAATAAATTTTTTAACATTTCTACTTTTGTTCAAACAATATTTTGCATATTTGTTGGAGAATATTGAAAACCCATGGACATCTGATGTTTATAGTCTTCTCTAATTGTACCTAATGGCTCTTCTTAGTTTGATCTATGCTGCATTTGTTGCCATATTTGTCACTCCAGCACATTGATATTTTGCTCTCTCTTCTCCTCTCTAGAGAGAACATTTTGAGTGCTATGAGGCAATTCCAATAATTTAGGTGCTTTATCGTGTCTATTGTCACACAATTCCCCAGGATAGCAGAGGAAACTGCCTCTTTCTTCTCGCCTTCCTTGTTCATCACTCTGCATACCGTGTATTACAACCGGTATGGAGTTCAACCCATACAAACTTCTGGACACCACCACCAGTACACCCTCCACCCCACCCGAGAGCCCAGCGTGGTGGTGGCTGCATGACCTGCTGGTTCCTTGTTGTGCGTAAGTAACTACATGTTACACTGCCGGCTCATCGTTCCAAGCCTCGGTGACAAAGGACTTGATATCACCATCAGGGGATATAAATACCCATGCCCTCCGTCACCTCGGCAGTCTCTTCCAGTACTCGGGGAAATCAACACTACTGCCTCTGCATGTCGCTTCCCTCCCGCTTCTTTGTGTGCATGTCTTAAATATTATTATGCAACTAATTTCAGTGTCACTCTTTTTTTTTGTATTAACATAAGTTTGTATATATATGTCTGACTTATTATTTTTCATGTGTGATAGTCAAGTATGTCAACTCAGGGTGTTGTATATTTTTCGTATGTTATTTGTTCATTTTCATATTAGAGTAAATAGTCAATTTTTTGCTTTAGTATTCCATTATTCCAGTGCAATTTTCACACTGCAAAGGCTAATGCTTTTTAATGCCAAGTGAACTTGGCATTAATTTTTTAATGCCACATTACATCTTCCTAGTATAGCCGCACTACTGAGTCATGTCATACTATTCATGCCATACATGTTCTCTGTATTCAAAAATCTTGCCGGGTTTGAAAGGGGAAATGAGTACCAAGAAGTACTCAAGGCATGAAAGCACAAGTGATTTGAATAGCAAAAGAATTGTGGTGGAATCACTGGATTTTAAGGTTCTCAAAACACCTCCAACAATTTTTCTGGCTGACAATATGTTGGATTTGTTGTGCCCAGACATTTAATGTCAGGTTGCCTTACAACAATATTCAGACATCCTTTGCACCTAATTTTCCTTCTATGAGGAGATGTGTCTTCTAACCTGTATTTCCTTTAGGTTCTTATTTTTTCCATACCTAAATAACTGGAAATTGTCAATGTTAAAAATCATGTTATTTTCTGCTTCCCAGTTGAAGACTATATTTATATCGGTTTGAAGTTTTTCTCTGCTCGCCGCCTCAGGTTTCCAGAAATGTGTAAATGTGCATTCATTATCAATGTACATCACAATAAAAAGAAAAAAACTTTCACTCTTTTCTGGCAGGTAATTTGCAAAGAACAATGAAAAAATTCACAAGAAAAGTAATTATTGTTTTGAGTGGTAAGTAGTTGGATGAGGTGCTCACTGGCTGCTCCCCTGATAACCTATTCATGCACTGTATTCCAAACAATGAAAAAAATGTGATTGTCTGAAATTTCACAAAGATGATGCATGCTACTAGCATCATCGAAATGTTCACTGTTGGAGCACAATTCATGCATTTTAGTGTCAGGAATGGTAATATTTTAATTTAAAACTGATCACAGTTTGGTGAAAAATTTCAAAATGAAATGACGATGGTAAAAAAACTAAGTAAAACCCATAAATTTTTTAATCCATTACATGCACAAGTCCATAAGGCACAATTACACCATTTATGACTCCACTGTGCAGTCAATGAGGAATGATTTTAAATACTGCGCAAGATTTTAAAGTCCGTTCTTAAATGGGGCTCACATCTGTTCTTTCAGGCCCAGTAAACAGATGACTTTTTGAAAACCAAATCATGGGTACCCCTCCTGGGTGTAAAAGCCTCAGAACTGAGCAAGTGACCATGGGTAGCAGATGCAGCAGCAGCTCACAGCACAACCACAGCTTGTGCCCACAGCATCACTTAACACTATCGGTAACTTTGGACCGGACTCGCGTCCATTATTTTTCTCCCGGGTCCTAACTTTGGAATGGACATGCGTCCACTACAAAAAATATTTGTATAAAATTCATTTTTTATCCAATCGACCTCGGGATAGTATCAAAATAAGCGCCTTTAGATTGCACACAATTTGATACCAAAATGAAAGACATAACATGAAACTTGATGTCCGAACACTTGAAAGATTATAAATAGGCTTTTGGTCAAAATATTAAAATATTTGTTAAAATTCTATTTATTGTCCTATTATCTTGAGACTAGTTTTAAAATGCGCGCCTTTACGTCGCTAACAATTTGATATTGTTCAAAATGAAAGATGTAACACAAAAATTTATGCCAGAACACTGGAAAGATATAAATAATTTTGTGATGATGAGCATCCAGAATTAAAATATTTGTTAAAATTCCAGTTATTGCTCTATTATTCTGGGACTAGTTTTAAAATATGCGCCTTTTTATTGCGAACAATTTGATACCAAAATGAAAGACGTATCACGAAATTTGATGTTATCAAATTGAACGAGTATACACATTAGGTTGCAGTGTACAAATTGGTGCTCATTCACGGGTAACTTTAGGCTTTTCTGCGGAGAGGCACTCCAGGCTTTTGTACATTATATTCATACACGTCTGTAGGGAATTTAATTGTGAACACAATGATACCAAAACGAGCGACGTAGAACGAGAATTAAGGTGAGAAAAATGGAACGAGTATGCACATGTTACCGATTTTGTGCGCTCACAGGTAACTTTTGCCGACTTTAGGCTTTGCTGTTGGGAGTCACGCCAGGCTTTTGGACATTATATTTATACACACCTTTAGGGAATTTAATTGCGAACACAATGATACCAAAACGAGCGACGTAGCACGAGAATTAAGGTGAGAAAGCTGAAACGAGTATACACATTTACGTGTCACCGCGCGCTTACCCGCACGTTCGGTACATGACCCCTAAGTTGACCGCGCGCCTGCCCGGTGCGCGATAGTGTTAAAAATGGTGAAATAAATAAATGACAGACTATTTTGTAATAATATCGTCATTAAAGATCCTAACTGTGAGTGATTATTTACAAGGTTCCGATATCAGTGAACATAAAGTTGTTATGATGTTTACAGCAGAAGGCCAACATTCACAGTGCACAGCCATGGTTTCGTGCATCTATGCATCATGAAATAGGACCTCATGTTTATTAGAAAATAAACTTGTGGAAAGTAAGTCACATTTATGATTAAATGATCCTGATAAAAGAAGTGTTGTAGAAATGTACGTAGAACATTGGGAGGCCTTTTGCAGTCAGGTGGCGTCATCAGCTGAGTAGCTGACGATGCCAGATTGAATTTCATTACCACACCCACCACAACTGTTTAGTGGTTCATTATGGTGCAGAAAAATGTAAACAGTTATTCATAGTGTGTATATAATGTAATAACAACAAAAACAATGAGTTTCATTGTTCTAAGCACATACATTAATATGATGCAGATCTTAATGACACGAATAAATTAAAGTATTTGAATGTTCTACACATTTTATTATATAAATTTCTCATTAGACACACTGTTGAATAATAATATTGTACTGCAATAAACTAAACAAGATGAGGAAAAAGCAAATCAGACATTGAAATAAGATTGTAAATACAGGGCATTTCAGAAAAATGTTTATAGATTTGTAATCTAATACCTTAACCAATTCTCGGTCAAATGATCTCAAATTTTAACAGAATGTGTAGAAACAACTGCATTTTGTGTTAAGATTATGCTCAGTCAAACAAGACTGTGCAGCGTTCATTTATGAGAAAATTCACTTAATATGCACCAACTGCAAAACAGATTTTGTTTTGCATAGCACAAAACGTTCAAAGAGGAAGGCTGTCTGTGCGAGGAAAAAAAGATCTGGATGACCACCAGTATCGGAAGAATGTTCGAGCGGGTACCGAAAACATTTTTTTTTGTGAAGCCCCAGGAAGTCCATAGGAAGAGCAAGTCTGGAAGCTCAGATTCCTCCAACAATAGTTTGGCATACCGCAATGAAACGTTTGTTAATGACACTACAAACTGCAGCTCGTTCAGGCCTTAAAGACCTGAACGAGCAAATGAACCTGAACACTTCATTTTCAAGAGGACGGGGCTCCACCTTACTGGAAGTTCACTGTACACTCACCTAGTTGTGCTTGCGGGGGTTGAGTTCTGGCTCTTTGGTCCCGCCTCTCAACTGTCAATCAATTAGTGTAATGGTCGAAGCCCAACTGGTGTGGGCTTATCTCAGTGAGAATCTGCCAGAGATATGGAATGGGTATGCTGGTAATTGCGCAAGTGTAGTTACAGGATGAAAGCTACGCTCGTGGTGTTCTGTCTTCCCAGTACTCTTTGCCATATAACACTTTGAAACTACGGACGGTTTTGGCCTCCACCCCCCTTCTCACTTAATTTGTTCCAACCGTCTACCACTCTGTTTGCAAAAGAAAAAAGTTGCTGGGTTCAGGAATTCTTGTCAACTTGGTCAATTCTTGTTATTATTTTGTAAGTGGTGATCATTTCACCTCTTTTTCTTCTTTCTTCTAGTTATGGTATATTTAACGCCTCTAGCCTATCCTCGTTACTCTTGTTTTTCAGTTCTGGAAGCCATTTTGTAGCATGCCCCAGCACCTTTTCCAATTTATTGATATGCTTCTTGAGATATGGGCATCAAACTGCACATGTCAATTTTGGTCTCAAGTCATGAACAGTTTCTTTGGTACTTCAAAATACATGGAATTAAAAATGAATTTGAAGTTAGAAAGCGACGCATAGGCTCCTCTCACAATGTTCTTTGTATGTTTCTCTGGTCACAGCTTACTATCCAAAACCAACCCCTAGCTCTCGTTCTATATTAGAGTTCTTTAATGCCTTTCCACATAATTTTGTGTGCGGTCTATTTTCTCCGATTCCACATTCCATAACACAGCATTTATTCACATTGAATTCCATTTGCAACATGACACTCAAAGCACTTATTTTATCTAGATTAATGTGGAGGGCAATACAATTGTCGGCATCTCCTACCTTTCCCAGTATCTTAGCATTATCAGCAAACATGTTTATATAATTCTGTATTCTTTCTGGTAGATCATTTATGTATACTATGAACATTCCTGGTACAAGAACCGAACCCTGTGGTACTCCACTAGTAACACTCTTCCAGTCAGACACATTGCCTCTGATTACATCCGATTACCGATTTTAACTGTGTCAAAAGCTTTTTTTTAGGTCGAGAGAGAGACAGCCAACCCAACCATCTCTTTCCTGTAAAATCTCTGTGGCTTTATCATAAAAACTGGTGAAGATTTGTTACACAGGATCTTCCTGTTCGAAAACCATACTCTCTGTCCATTATAATGTCATTACTCTCCAGGTGTTCTACCCATTTGGCATTAACTATTGTTTCTAGTGCTTTGACTACCACGCTTGTTAATGATATGGGTCTATAATTTAGAGGATCTTCTCAGCCACCATTTTTATTGATTGGAACAACGTTTGCTTTTTCCATACACTGTATCTGCTAAGATTCCTGTGCACAAGGATGTCTGTAATATTAGAGTGGAATACTAGGCTCAGTTGCACATTCTCGCAGTACCCAAGGTGAAGTTCTATCTGGTCCAACTGCTTTATTTCTTTCTAGCCCCTCGAGTAATTTTCCCACTTTGTCTTGGGATATCTATCGTGTGCTCTGGAATTGGCATTGGGTCCAGCTCTCTGAAATCCTCATTTTGTACAATGGTGATGACAATGTGCTACTGAAATGGCCACCACATTCACCTTGCAAATTTTTTCCCTGGGGCTATGCGAAGGGATTGGTTTATGTTTCCCCCCGTCTTCCTACATGCCTAGAGGAACTCAAGCACAGATCACTGCCTCACTGGAGACTGTTCCCAAAGACATGCTGCAGGGTGTTTGGCAGGAGCTAGACTACTGACTTGACGTGTGATGGGTCACAAGGTGTGCATATTGAAAAACCTGTGAAATTGGTCATGGAATTCACATACCCTTGAATTTCTCAATCGTATTTTAAATGAATAAAACTTATTTTACTCAATTTTCTTGTTGAGGAAAATTTTGACAAGTTTCAGCTGACAAGCAAAGAGATTTCGTAAATTATCACAAATTCATTGCAAGTGACAGGCCACCTGTTGACCACCTGTTGATGATTTCGAGGATCAACGTTCCTGCAGCCCAGTCTCCGACCAGGCCTCCTGGTTGCTGGTGTGATCAACTAGGCTGTTTGACTTGGCTGCTTTCAGTCTGACACACAGGTCACAGCCTGATTAATCAGGTATCCTTTAAACGGGGAAACAATAATTTAATGGAACTATAAGATATCCAGGATACCTAATAAAAAATACATAAATCTTTAAGATCTAATATTTCATTTTATTTATGACAAAACATTTAGATTTTTTCACAATTATTGTGTGTCAGTCAACCAAAGTTTTCTAAGTTAATAACAGAAGTTGCTACAAACTGCAGTTACTAAGAAAAGATGGAATTCTGCAGAGTACACGATCATAAATCAGTAACCTACCTTCCTCCCATACACTACTTGAGAAGATACTTTTGAAAAGGCAGGGGGAGGGGGATGGTAAAATGCATATTGCTGGCCCAACCTTTCCAAAAAGCATAATCAAACCTTTGAAAGTGTAAACTTCACAAACTATCCATAATTTACAATCTTAAGTCTGAGTATAAGCTTTACTGCACAGCCACATCCACATGCAAAGTAAGTCAGATCATGCCAAAACTAGAATTAAGAAACAAATCACACCACGTAAGGGTTTGTTGTGATGGGCGGCTTTGTGGTGGGTGCAGGAGGAATAGGTCCCAGCTCTTCTCTTGACTGTCCCACACCTACTATGTCACTTCCTGGGGGGGTGCTATGAATGTGGGGGTATAGTGAGAGCTGTGGCTGGGCCAGGGGAGGCAGAGAGCTCCCAGAGGATGGTGGCAGTACAGCTTCCTCTGATGTCTGCAAAAAGTAATTTTGTTGGTCAACATTTCCATACCTACAGCCCTACATGCTTAAACAATGTCAAATTGCTTATGCATACAACCTGTGTCAGTAACAAACCTGTTCAAACGTTATCAGTTGCAACATCAACTGCAATGTTGGTGGTGGTGGTTGTAGTATTAGTAGTGGTGGGGGTAGTAGTAATATTGGTGGTGGTAGTAGTAATATTGGTGGTGGTAGTAGTAGTATTGATGGTATTAGTGGTGGTAGTAGTGGTGGTGGTGGTGGATGTAGTAATAGTAGTGAAAGTAGTAATATTGGTGGTGGTAGTATTGATTGTGGAAGTTGTAGTATTAGTAGTGGTGGTATTGTTGGTGCTAGTATTAATAATGTTAGTGGTGGTGGTAATAGTAGTACTGTAGTAGTACTGTGATATGGTAGTTGTAGTAACAGTGGTGGTAGTGGTGACAGTGGCAATAGTGGTGGTGGTGGTAGTAATAGATTTGTGGTGGCAGTAGTTGTTGGGGAACCTTCAGTGTGGTTAACAGCCATGCTTAGCAACACCTATCATCCTTGAGACCTATGCTGGGTCAGCATTCTTCACACAGGGTAGTCGTTGTGCACCCGTATTGAGGATGGATCAGACCCATCCTTTAGTGAGCACAGTGTGCTCACATTACTGTGCATGTGAGCACACTCACATGCACAGTAACTAGCTACATGGCTGTATAATTCGTATATATGTTATCCATACCATATATCTTTTTTAATAAAGAAGAAAAGGCCATAGAAGTTAGTTCTACAACCTCTTTCACTAACCAACAAGCACTCTTATGACTGACAATGCCTCCTGCCAACAAACCCACTCTCCCAGCCCAAGCTATGTGGTAGAATTGCATCACTGCTTACAGCTACACTAATCACGAGTTCATCTGCCCCAGTGAATCTTTAACGACAACACAACAGCCTGCAGCAGAGCGAGTGCAAGAACATAGGGTGGTATTCTTATCACAGCAGCAGTAAACAATACTGTAAGTGACTTCACAAGACATCACTGATACAAACATTACTGCACTCGCCTAGTACTCACCACTGTGTGATGTTGCTTATGAGATCTGATAATCTGTGCAATAAACCAAAAATTGCTTTCTTCTATTGGAAAATGACAGTGTATAATGTACTGTAGAGTACTCTCTCTCTCCTTGAAGTAGTGCTGCACTAGCATGTGTGTGACTCATTGCCCTGCACACCACAACCGTGTCCTACCCATACTCCACCCTCCTTCTACTTTGGCTCACCACCAAGGTAGTAGAACGTGTGCACACAACTGACTCACTGTGCCTCACCACAAAAGAGAAAAGAGCTTGCATCAGAAAAGATAAAGAGGTTACATAGGATATAGAAAAGTGCAAGGAGGATATGCAGCTAACCCATGCACAAATGTCCAGAGAGAAAGAAATATTAGAAGCAGTTAAGGAGGTGACAAAGCACCAGTATGAATAGGCAAGATCTTGACCTAACTCTTTCAGCACAGAGCCAACACAGTGTATTACAGATCAACCATAATAATCGAGCATGAAATTGGAACCTCCTAACTTTATGTATGGGGTGTATGAAATATGGGTTATCAGGAAGAACAAATGGAACATGCAAATATAATCATGCAAGAAATTGCAGAAATATCCCAAAGCTGTGTATCTCTGATAATTACAAAGACCAGTACGGTATTTCCATCTGAAGCTGTGTAAAAATTCACTAAACAAGAAGAAATGTTTAATAGAGACTGCCTAAGTTTCTGTATCAAAGGAACCAATCAAATAAAATCCAAAGAATGCCATCATGAATAGAGCAATACCCATATATACCAGGGAGACTTTATGTAGGAAGAAAAAAACCAGTGTTGAATGTAACGAAATGCCATTTTCTGGGTAAGCCCCGGAGGCTCCCTGGAGCTTATCGGACTAATGTATGTTATGTTAGACCAGGACATTAGCTATGGAGTTCAGACCTACCGGGACCAGTGCCAGAACCTGGCCCCTTCAGAGAGGTTTCAGGGAGCAATGGCCCTGGAAAACCCCATTATGGTTGGGGGTTTTCCTTATCTGCCATCGACCGGGGTTAGGCACCCAGAAAGGTAGGCATAACAAAACAAACCCCACATGGTAAGAAGCTACAACAAAAAACCAAACAGAGGGGTAGAAACTCCCTACAATCCCAAGGAAACAATCAAACAATCAATTTACTGCCGCGCCGGTCGTCCGTGTAGCCCTCCCTTCCCCGGGAGGGGGAGGAGGGGCCCCGGACCTCACCACGCCGACTGCCCTCAGTTCGGAAACTAGGCTTTAACCAACGCGAAAAACCCCGCCAACCGGATGAGAGGGAGGGTAGCCAGGGAGCCTCCGGGGCTCACCCAGAAAATGGCGTTTCATTACATTCAACACTGATTTTCTGTGGGGGAGCCCCTATGGCTCCCTGGAGCTACATACCCAAAGAGAAGGAAAATAGGGACTTACCCGAGAGGCGGCGGCCACAAATTCCTCAACGCGAAGTCGAGACAACTGGCTGCAACCTGCGACCCAATGCAACACAAGAACGCCGAGGAGCAGGGACATTCACCAAATAACGGGCGGCCAGGACCCTGTTCGACTTCCAAAATCCATGCGCCCGAATATGTGTCCAAGACATGTTACCAAACACATCAGCCAAAGCTACAAACTTCCGAACATCATGGGCGCGAGGATAGACTGCAGGCTGGCTAGACTTAATAACCCTGCGGACAACCTCGGAGATCCGAGCTCTGGAACAGGGAACGAGGGAAACCGGATCAACCCAAAGCGCATCCCCAGCCACCCCAGCTGAAGCGCGCAGGTAACAGTGAAGTGCTGCAACCGGACACAACACATGATGCACCAACGGCTGAACCAACCAAGAATCAATGACCCACGGACCCCTCCGGAAAGCAGCCGTCTCGTTCTTCGCCAGAAAATATGGAGAAGGCTGCAAACGGACAAACCCACCCCTAGACCAAAAGAGCAGAAACCCCTGCGCTGGAGGAGAGCATGAAGCTCCCCTACCCGACCCCCAGAGGCCAATGCCAACAAAAACAAAGCCTTGGAAAAACAATCCGGAACCGAAGGGGCCACCACAAACCGAGGAGAGGAAAGATAGGAGAGCACCCTGTCCAAGGACCAGGAAGGTTCAGGAGGCGCAAAAGCAGGCCGGAGGTGAAACATAGCACGGGAAAGCTTACGAAACGGGGCGGATGTGACGTCCACCCCTAAAGCTAGCTTGATGTGATGTCCACCCCGAGAGCTAGCTCCGCCAGCGCCGCACAATACGAGGCGACAGTATTAGGCATCAAATGATGGTCCTGAAAAAGCCAAGAAAGAAAGGACAAGACAACCCGATCCGAAAGAAAAGACAACCTACGAAGAGCCAGAAAATGGTGAAAAGAACACCGGGAAACTTCATACTGTCGCCGAGACGAAGCTCTCAGATATGTGATCAGGTTGGACACCATCAACGAAGCCACCTGATCGCCATAGAAATGGTGATACACCCGCGTCAAAAAGACCAGAGGAGAAGGTCGAACCAGCCCCGTACCGGACCAGGCCAACCTGCTGAAAGAGGCAGAGCCGCAGGAAACGTCCCGGGTTCGGGCACCGAGCCAAGAGCACCGGAAACCAAGGCTGGGCCAGCCACCAAGGGGCCACAAGGACCAGAGCCCGAAGCAACAGCTGGACTGGGGGAAAGAGATACAGGTAACCCCATCTCGACCAGTCCTGCCGAAAGGCATCCACCACGAACGCCTCGCAGTCGGGGAAGGGTGTCACATAGATTGGGAGAAGCCGAGACCACGCCGACGCGAAGAGGTCCACAACTGGGAGACCGTACGTCTGTCAGATCCAATGAAACGAGTCATCATCGACCGTCCATTCCATGGACAGGATGAGAGCGAGACAGACCGTCCGCCAGAACGTTGGACACTCCCCGGACATGAACCGCACAGAGCCAAACCCCGAGAATCCAGCAGACGAACCACTCGAAGGGACCAACCCCAAAGAGCCAAGGACCGAAATGAACCCCTGCGGTTCAGGCAATGAACCACTGGAGAACAGTGCGAATGGAGGCGAATGGTCGATCCCTGAGCAACCCGAACCCTCTGAAGCACAACCAGACTGCCTCAAACTCCCGAACCGTGCTGTGAGCCCGACGGAAGGACGGACCCCACCGTCCTTGGCCTGCCTGGTGAGCACTGGTCACAAAGCCCCAGCCGAGAGACGAAGCGTCCGTGAACACATCGAGTGAGGGCTCGAGAAGGCGCCAAGGCACCAAACCCCGAAAACCCCAAAGAGGAAGCCGGTGACTCAGCAATCGACACAAGGCCCCTGGAGGAAGGATGAACTCAACGATCGCGAGAGAGGCGGAAGGGACGTCCCCGAAGGAACCAAAACGGACGCCGAAGCCAAACCCGACCTGGCAGGTAAACTAACATGGCGAAGTTCAGACTCCCACACAACCTATCGAGCAACCTCCGAGTGACCCAGGACCCCCTCAGAAACAGCCGACGGCGGTCCTGCAGCCGCCGCAACGCCTCTGGATGGAGAGACAATGAAGCGGTCCGAGAATCCCAAACAAGACCCAGCCAGGTCCGATCCTGGGACGGAACCAGATGGGACTTCCTCCAGTTCACCAGGAACCCGAACCTGGCGAGCTAGGAAAGAACCATATCCCTGGCGAGCAGACAAGCTGACCAACTGGAAACCCACACCAGCCAGTTGTTGAGGTAGGCCAAAACCCGAATCCCTAGAAGACGAAGACGGGTCACCACAACCCAGGTCAGATGCGTGAAAACGCGAGGTGCCAGATTCAAGCCAAAAGGTAGGCATCAAAAACGGTAAGCGTGGCGCCCCACCATGAAACCTAACCAGTCCCTGAACCCCGGATGAATAGGAACGTGCCAAATAGGCGTCCTTGAGGTCCAGGGACACTACCCAGGCACCCGGCTCCAACAGAAG